ACATTCTCTACCTGTTTCGTAGAGAGCTATCAACTCCGCGTGATTTGATGATGTGGCAGTCAAAGTTTGTTTCATCGATCTCCATGATATTGCGGTATCTCCATAAGTAAACACATATCCTGTTTGAGATTTTGCTTTTTGTGGATCAGACAAATATCCTGCATCAGCGTATCCAACAAGAGTGGCCTTGGCATCTTTGCGGTAGAATAAACCAAGGTCGATGGTACCATTGAGATATTGCAAAATGTGTTTACCCCAATGCCTCCTAGTCGAGGTCGAGCTGTGTCTGGCTAACAAGTTCACTGAGAATGCAATATCTGGCCGAGTGTTGTTTGCTAGATACATCAAAGCTCCAATAGCACTCAAGTATGGTATTTCTGGACCGAGTATTTCTTCATCATCTTCACGAGGTCGGAATGGATCATCATGTACATTGAGAGAGCGGACAACCATCGGGGATGTGAGAGGATGTGCTTTATTCATATAAAACCGCTTCAGAACCTTCTTTGTGTAATTTGACTGGTGGATGAATATTCCGTCTTTCAAATGGTCAATTTGAAGACCAAGACAGAATTTTGTTCTCCCAAGATCTTTCATCTCAAATTCTTTTATGAGATATTTTGCAGTATTTTCTATTTCATCAGAAGTTCCAATGATGTTTAAATCATCAACATATACTGCAATAATGGCAAAGCCTGATTTAGATCTACGGATAAAAACACATGGACTAATTGGATCATTTTTGTAACCTTCTCTGAGCAGATATTCACTGAGACGATTATACCACATTCTGCCAGATTGTTTTAGTCCATATAGTGACTTTTCCAATTTTATGGAAAACATCTCTCGAGGTTTTGAATTATAAACCTCAGGCAATTTTAGCCCTCCAGGAACTTTCATATATATGTCACTACATCCATTAAACGCATTTGAAGCTTTTCAAAGACAGACATGCCTATTAAAAATCTCAACGTAGTTGCATCAACTACTGGGGAATAAGTTTCTTCATAATCTATCCCCGGGATTTGAGAAAAACCTTGGGCAACGAGTCGGGCTTTATATCTCACAATTTCATTTTTCTCATTGCGCTTGCGCACAAAAACCCATTTGAAACCAACTGGTTTCACGCCTTTTGGCGTAGGAACTATAGG